CTTTGACCCCAAGACTTAACTGAGTTCTCATAAACAGATTTTTAACAAAATAATACACCTCAGCCTCTCTACAGTCCATGGCAGATGCACATCTGAAATTGATGCCCTGTGTCACTGCTCTCAATTATGTGAGATGAATGCAGCAGCAAATCACCCATTTATCTGGCACCCGTTACCTCCAAGGGCCCCAGAGGGCTTCAGAATGTGGGAAGATTATAATGTGAAATGGGTTTGTCTCATTTATACCCATGAGCTGTGACATGTGTAAATGAAGCCTCTTCTAATGAAACAAGTACAGATCAGCTATCTGGAGTATGTGAACAATCGTTTACATAAATCAACTGCTCACCTTCCCTAAAAGCTTTTCCTTTCCGTTCCACTTCCCTTGAGGGAAGGACAACGGTTCTACTTAGAATTCCCTGAAATATCACCTAATCGTGTGAAACATCATTTCCATCTTGAAAAAATATCTGGCTTTATGCAAAGCAGCAGGACAAAACCAGAACCACTAAGTTTAATGAATATCTTCCAAATAGTATTTTTATGGCTTTTAAGGAACCACAAACTCTCCTTGACCATGGCATGAAGCTCATCCAGACCCAACCTTTGCTACTGAAAAGGCCTTTCCTTCTCAACACTGCCTCAAACAGTTCAAAGACAGGAGAACTTTTGCTGAAGAACTGCAAATGTCTCACCCTGAAACAGAGAGGTTCTTATCACCACATTTTCCTGTGGGCAGTAGAAGACAGACACCTATGCCAGCATCCAGTATTACTCAAGTGCTACCACATGTTCTGTTTCCCCTTGACAACAGGATAACAAGCAAAGCCAACAACCCAAAAAATTTAATTTCCCCTAAGAGGTGGGAGTTCCTAGAAGGATTATTGAAAACAATACCAGGAGAAGTCTCAAGGAATCTCTCCTATCCCAAAGCAGAACTCAAATACATCCATGTCCTTCTTAGCAGATGTTTGCCTAAAAGCATGCAAAGGAGGAGATTTTTACCCCTCTGGGCAGGGTGTGTTGTGATGGGGTGAACTTGGAGAGAGCTAGGTTTGCGTTTGGATTGTCACCTCTACCCCAATTACATCCATAAGCTCTTCGCACAGAAGCAGTCGCTGGCTTTCCTAAGGGATAGCCTCTTCCCAAGCCTTGACTGGAGCAGTTGGGTACAAATAAGCAGTCGCCCCTCAACATCAGTGAAAAAGAGTTGGAAAGGAGGGAAACGATCGTGTCTACCCCTCCTCTGCAGTCTCAGTGACTGGATGGACCTGGTGGGTGCATACAAACCAGCTCTGTCCTTGCTACGCAGGATCTCCTCGCTGTTCTCAGTGACTTAACATCTAGGGGATACTCACACTGGCATTCGACATACATCCCTAAAACAGAAGCCCAGGTTTCTCTACAGTTAATAGCAAGCTGTAGTCTCCTCCCAAGAGTGACTCAGAGCACCTAAACTGGGAGCCTACACTTCTCCATGTGACTCTAGATGGTCTCTGAAGTTAGGTGGTGTGAACACTACACGAGATGCACGGCTTGTCTCCTCCTCCCAAAGGCAGATGAAGTAAATGCCCTCTTCAGCGTGGCCCATCTAGCCAGAGGTTTTGATTAACCAGCCTCTTCTCCTGCCACACTTGGAGCGCACAACTGGTGCAGAGTCTTGTGCACAAACTCTCGGGGCTAGACATGTGAAGAAGAGGAAGCAGCATCAGAAAGATAAACCACAAGATAAGGCCTGGAGGATATGAGATCTGCTGGTCTGTAGCTTCAGAGCACCCAAAAGAAGAAACTTGCATGCAAAATGGAGTTTTCAAAAAACAAATATTGCAGGCCAACATCATGCTGCAAAAACTAGCCAACACCTCTTCCTCCAGAAGGTTCAGCTGATAATTAGTCGTGCAGAGGGTTAATTTAATGGGAAATTAGAAAATTCAGAAAAAAATTTTAAACTCCATTATATTTTAGAAAAGGTAATCAAAATAGTGGAATAGCAGTCTATTGAAAGTGGCTGTATACTTCAGCAAAAAACCCACCGCTTCGGTGGGCCACTCCCACTCAGGGCAAGCTTGGCTTCTTAGTATTTAAGTCCAACAGTTTGAGAGGCAGCACTGAATTAAAAAAATTACTGTGGAGAGGTCCTAGTGCTCCACAAAATTCCTAAGGGCAGTGTGTTCCAGTCTGTCATCTGAAAAGTGCTGTGTCCCCCCAGCTCCCGGTCTGCAGCCTGCAGGGCACCCCAGCCCTGTCACCCCGGGGGTGACACTGCCATTCCTGCTCCGGGGCCGAACACAGATAGCACTTGTTGAAAACTAATTTAATTTCCTTACAACCAGCTGCCTTTAACTCATGCAAACTTTCCTCAACACAGCATCTACCTTTTAAAAATCTCTCCTGTTTCATTTTCTCCATTTCTGTACCGTTTGCATCTGACAAGAACACGAAAGTTAAAATTCACTGAGGGGAAAAAGAAAAAAAAAAACAACCTTGAAGCCAAATAAATGTCATAAATGAAAGCTTTGGATTTTACTGGCCTTCCCGAGTTTCAGATGTCATAAACCATACAGGTGCAACTATCTCATTGCTCTGCACCCATATGAACCTTGTTATGTTAAAGCGAACACAAATCCAACAAACACTCCCAGGTTTATAATAAACCTTCATAAAGAAACTGTCCATATTTTCCCCATATGCAGGCACAGCTGTGCAAAGGCACATCTGCTTGGGAAACTAACATGGATCTATGAATTTATAGTTTAAGATCCTTAAGCTTGATGGCAAATTATGATAAAACAAGGAATATCAGTTCCTGTCTCCAACAGAAAATACAAATCCCTCTTTGATTGATATTGATTACAGGAAGGAAACAAAGCACTTATATTTCCCCATGTCATGAGAAACTCCTTTGCTGCAATAAACATCCGGTTGATAGGAATATCTTGGGAAGGTAAATGATACTATATTTGTAAGCAAACTGAGAAAAGAGCAAGTGCTGATTGGCCATGTAGTTCATACATCCATGTAGCTTCAAACACACCACAGCGGGCTATGAGTTTGTCAGATCCATCAACTAAAAAGATTGCAGATATTAAGGTATGTCAAATGTGATTGCCATTTATTATTATCCTGCACCCTTTACTCAAATATCCAGTCCATACATGTAAGTCCAGCTCAAGCAAAGTAAACAAATTCATTGATTCGATAATTTATGGCTTGATTTTAAAAGCGGGCGAGCCTGCAGGGGAATATCTAACATATGTCTGAAGTTAAGCACAAACCAACCCAGTGAAATTAGTGGTATCGATCACATGCTTAAAATTAAGCATAAACTTTAATATTTTCCTGGTCCGTGCTTGCCATAACAACTCCTGAGTATAAGAGGAACACCTGTAGGACGGACCCCAACTTTGCCTCATGAAAGCTGCCGCCGTGGCTGCTCCGTGCAGTTGCCGTAGCTCATTACCAGCAACATCGCCCCAACACCTCACAACCCTGACCAAACGCCTGGCTGAGATGAGGAGGAAATGAGTGAGAAGATTAATGTGGCCCCCAATGGCTCCAGTGCAGCTACTCAGCCGTTATTTTACCTTACCCTTTGAAAAGTAAAGGAGAAGCCCTTCACCCTCCACAACAGAATAATGGTTCAGCTCATCCACCCCTCTGGCCAGCAAAGGGCCAAATTTTGCTCCCTCCATCACTGGCGGCTTGGGTCCTGTTCACTGGTTTCAGCAGGGTAGCTTCCCTTCTCACAAATGTAGCTAGGACCAGCGCTGGACTCTTTAGGGCAATATAAATGATACTTCAAAAGAGATATAAAATTATGTTTCTGTAGTGACATCGGCCCAAATCATGAGGGAGCTCCTGCCTAAACTCATTCACCCTTTTTAATGCTGTATTTACAGCTTAATATAGGCGAAACTTTTTAGCTCCGTAATTATCTTGCCCTGCTGCCTCCTTATCACACGGCTACTACCACTAGTACAGGTTTCCCTGCGGTGGTGTACACCCAGGACAACAGAAGGCAGTGGTACCACAGATGACAAGCAGAACTGCAGGCAAGGTGGGACACGGCATCAGCAGGTTACATATCAACCAGGCACTAGATTGAAACGGAGGTACTGAGCACCTGAATTACAACGTGGGTGAAATTCTCTGACCTAAACTTTAATGGGCTTAAAATTAGAAGTTCTACCAGGTAGCCAGAGGACAGAAAAAAAAAAAGAAAAAATAAGGATAAAGGAAAAAGCAAATGCATGAAAGACATTCCTAGCAAAAGGCAGCTGTTAACTCTGGGGAAACTCCAGTTTAACGTCCACACCTTCCTAATCCAACTCCCATCGAGGTTAATGAAGGTTGCTTTGCCTTTCTTTAAACCTCAAGTGAACGTGTAGGGGTCATGTACAGTCTGGCTCTTCGGGAGAGGAGCCGAGGCTGGATACAGCCAGAAACACAGGCAGCAACTCTGCCGCATGGGCTCTCTCTGCGGGGACCGGGGGGGGCACAGCGCCAACACCCTCACTCACCGCTGGCAGGAGGACACGGTACTGCAGATCTAACGCGATCTGCTAGTTATTTCAAATCTCAGTTTGGGAGGTCACTGAGCTACACTGAGTTTGAAAGCCAGGCTTGATGTCTGTACATTTTGAACCTCACAAAAAGCCCTCGTTTACACAGAAGAGTCGGTTCTCAAGACAAAATGGGCTCAGCTGGGATTCAGGACAGCTGGGCAGCTTATGACAGAGTTGGGTCACAGGAGGTTAACATATAGCCCAGAAAAGGTGGCAAATGTTTCCCTAGGTTTCTGACCTTTCACAAGCTAATCCAAACCAACTTTCCTAACATCCAGGACTTCGCCACAGCTTCAACTTCAGCTGCTTTATGCACATCTATAAGCACACCCAGGTTCACATGCTCCCCTCTTGCAGGGTCAGCCACCAGCAAGACTTTCAAAAATGAACTCACCCCCGACTTTTCCTCTACAGAGTTGTTCTCCAGTCCCTTACCTGGACGACGGGGTGGCCTCCGGTCGGCGCCTTGACAGCCCCTCGGCTCCCCTCCGTCTCGTAGTGCGCCCGGTGGTGGGGCTTCGGCTGTACCTCGATCCGCAGCTCGTAGGAGCCAGACTGGCTGGGGGGGGGGCACTCGAGGGGCGGGAGCGACTGGACGGGCAAACTAGGCAGAGAGAGAGATCACACCAGCTGAAACTCTTTAGCACTTGATTTCTCAAAGCCCTGGTCCTTTCTTCCTCCAAATGCCCCACCAGGGCTGCTCTCACCAAAACGTTTTGGAGTCTGCTATTAACATCAACAAGAATATGCTGTCCTGCTCATGTTTGATTACAAACTTTGCTGAACTTCAGGACAAACACAGTAATTTCTGTAGGCCCATGTCCTTGCAGAAGAGAATAGAATATTCCTATTTCTTAAACAGATGTATCTGTAGCAATCATATTTTTTCAGAGATCCCCCTCTTTTATATAGCTTTTGCTGTGCTTCTTAAACTTTGATCACAGAACATATATTGTGAAATATTAGCTCCATTTACCATTACTTACCAGTGGCATAAATTTATAACATTTATGATTCCCATAAATATTAGAACGCACACAAATAAAATGCTAAATATTCTTACCTGATACTAGTTTTCCTGTTATCAAAATACACGAGGCTTTATAACACGAGATTAACACATCGAAATGTACAACTAGAGCTCGCACAGGACTTGTAAACAACTCTTACTTTGTTAGTACAAACTGCTGCCAGGACCAATCTAACAAGCCACGGAAAGTCCCAGCCCATGTTCTACCACTCGCAATTTGTGTTTAGCAGGTCAGGAGCAGCACGGGATAACGTCAGCGTGAGGACAACCTTGCTGCCGAGCGGGATGGCAGGGGCCATCCCCTGACGGGGCACCAGCGGTAACTGCAAGTGGAGTCACGCGTTTGGCAACCTCCACACTGGCAGATGTGCACCGCTCAGGGTCCAGACCTGCCTGTGCCAGCGCCAGACAATGGAGGGAGTTGGTGGGGGTAGCGCCAACAACTGAGATTTGGGTTAAATGACAATTAACAAATTAACAACCAACAATAAGTCACTTGGGGTTGACCGAATGCTCGGTCTGACTTGGAGCAGCGTGTTCTATTTTGAATCAGGAAATATTTAAAGTATTTTCATTCTTGATGGAAATTTGTAAGCGAGACATTCCCTGAATTTAGAAAAGCAAACCAACCACTTTCTTTAAAAGCTGCAGGATGGAACAAGAGTGTTTAGCCTTTGTCAAAGGCTGCTTGCAATCTGCTTTTGGACAAATAATTTGGAAAATTGAATTTGTCGTATGCTGTGCTATCAATTAACCACTTTGATGACGTTTCTTTCCAAGATTTTTTCAACTCTTGGAATCATAATGGTGCTGCCCGTGCTGCCCCTGAGCATGTAGCTCGGGTCTGCAGCAGGATCTGCCCAAGGAAACACCACCTAGGGATCACTATGCATGACAGAGGGCATCGTGCCATGAGAAAACACACAACCATGAGAAGCATTACATACCTGCAGATTGGTATTGCAGGCACCAGTTGCTTTGTCCAGGATGGAGGTACCAACAAAATTGATTCTGGGGCTGAGTTTCTCCTGTCCTCCTGCTCGCAAGGCCCGTGGAAGTCAACAGTCTGAAAGACGTGACATGGAATGCTGTTTTTGTGGGAAGGCATTGACGAAGGATCAGGACTGGTTTTCCAAATTTTCGTGGGAACACCACAGGAAGGATCTGTAGGAAGGCTGTTCATAGCATCCATGGAAAGAGAAGCGCTGGGCAACTGCGTGTAAGTAACTGAAGAGTTGTCTTCTCTCAAAGGGATGCGAGGAGAGGATTGTGGAGAGGGGGTCCTTGACTGTCGTGGAGAAGTGGAAGGCAGCTGAGTACTGTAGAGCTCAGTGCAAGAGTACCTCCGTTTTGCACCTGGTGATGAAGACCTTGAGTTGGGACAGGGTGATGGTGAATGTCGTCCCAAGCAGGTTTCCTCCGTGATGCTTGTTCGTGGTGACATTATTGGAGAGGTTCTAGGAGAATAATGAGTATGGATGTTTTGAAACTGTGGACAAAGGTCATCACTAGGACCATTATTTGGTGAAACACATGGTGATGTGCAAGGAGATACATTTGTCTCTGAAATGAAACTTGCAGAGGAGCCGCTACTAGCTGGGCTCAAACACAGTGGTTCTCTGTAGCCCTCAAAGCCAGGGACAGGCAGGGTAACCCTTGGGCTAGTGGTAGCTGAGTTTGACTGATGTTCTACCAACAGAACATCTGTGTCTCTGCTGCGGAAGGGACCCCCTGAATGAATCAGTTCATGATATGGAGTAATTTCAATCCTAGGGCTCGGAGCAGAGGCCCCTGCAGCGTTGGCAGGGTGTGTAGGTGTTGTCCCTATGCTATCTGGCTGTCCATATCTGCCCATGGGATCTGCAGAAAGGCTAGGAAAAGGCAGGGGGCATGGCTTGAGGCCACAGTCCAAGACATCATGAGCGTATGTAACTCCAGAGGGTGGGCTGTTGGTTTTATGTGGAGTCGGTTCTTCTGGAAAAAGAAGGGTCTCTTTAAGACTATAAATATTATTACAGAAGCTGAGCAATCACGGATTAAAAAAATGCATATTTATAAGCTGGTTGTGATCTGATAGTAGGTAAATATTTGCTTAATTCTTTTTAACTGCAATTAATGCTTGTGAAAAGTACTGGATTAACAGCCAGGGAAGCTCAAGTGCTCAGAGCAGATGCAGCATGGACACAAGCACTGCAGACACCTCCACACCGCCCAGTCGGGCTCCCTGTACCTGAGCCCTGAGCTAGAGGGGTCACCTGGAAGGGTCAGCGCCGCGTCAGCCTCTCTGCCCGTTTCAGTGCTGGCCTTCCTCCTCCTTCTGCTAAGTGAACCCCTTAGTGCCAATTGGGGTGTTATGACTTTGGTCGACTTTTGGCAGCTAGGAGCTGGACTGAGACCATCACATCAGAAAACCACTTCCAAATAGGTCTATAAAAGACCAAGAAGTTGAGGAACGGCTTTTGGTGAAGGGAGAAAACCTTTCTCACACAGCAAATCCAGCCAGAAAAGGCTTCATGAAACTAAAGCTGAGCTCAAGTTCTTCAATTAAAAAGTCAGTTCTGTGTGCTGATTTGTTTGGCTCTGTATCAGGTCAACACGTTTTGGTGACAGGTTTCACATGAGAAAGCAGCAGATGATCAGAAAACACATTCACAAGTATTTGTTAGGAAAGAGAGAGAGAGAGAGAGAGAGAGAGAGAGGGAGGGAGGGAGGGAGGGAGGGAGAGAGAGAGAGAGAGAGAGGGAGGGAGGGAGAGAGAGAGAGGACCCAGCCCCGTGGTTACAGGCAATCACTTTCCAATTTCAGCTCAAGGAACATTTTGGCCAGAGGATTATAAAATACACAGTAACAGGTAAGTGTTCAGTGCAACCCTCTCTCCTGGTGCAAAAAAATCCTCAATTTTCAGAGATTCTTAATCTTGCACACAATCCCCAGGTTGCAGAGTACAGGGATGCTTCTAGGCAATACGGAATTCCCACCAGCATCACTGAGCCCAGTTCTCATCTCGTCCCAGCACCCCATCGGGCGCTTAATGCCAGCGGCACCTGAGAGAGCAGAGTCATGCCAGGTATCCCCAGGACAGACCCCTCGATGTACATCAGCTCCTGTAGCTTCCCCTGCCTGGGAGCTGAATAATACTTGTCTTTACACAAAAGCGTCTAAAATACTATCAGGATTTTTATATGTTTTTAAAGATTTCTGTGTACCCAGCAGGAAATATCTGAAACAGCTCCACAGTTTGAGATTAATTTGCACTATCCACTCACCCTTGGGCACAGATCAGTATGTGTCATAGGTGAAGAAGGTTTCCTTTAAATATTTAAATAACAGTTCCAGCGTCTTCTCTAACTCCTGCACTACATGAGGTGGCATTTCCCATGAGCAAATGACATTGTACATAAAGCCAGACAGGAGCTGATTGTGCTTTCTGCAAAAGTAGCACAAGATAGTAGTACAACTTTTACACACAGATAGACTGTGATTTAATTTCATGGTGGTTCTGCTCCTTTTCAGTTTTAAACACTTCTTAGTTTAAGCAAATCCTTAAAAAAAAAGAAAGATTTTTTTCCTTAAAGCAAAATCCTCCACTGATTTTTGACTACTACTTTTTGTGCTCAATGTTTTGCACAACCTGGAGAAAACTCCATGAAAAGAAAGAATGTAGGAGGAATTGAGGAATTGCCGAGACTTCATGTGGGAAAAATCGACAGCCGACCAAACAAACCAACACACGGAACATCTATGTGACGGGATGGGAGACGACTGGGGGAGTCCAGCTTGCAGATTTCTTAAGGTTCCCTCTGGCTTTTAATCCCAGCACGCAGCTGTTTTGGGGATGGGGAAAACAGCAACGAGTAACTGAATTTTGAGCCGAACATATTTTTAGCATCGCTGATCTCAGATATCAGAGCTTTGGCACTCACAGGAAAAGCGTGTCATTCACATCACTCAAACTCTGACGCATCAAGCCCAGATACTGATGCTATGATTCACTTTGAATAAAACTCATCGCTCCTTTGGACTCAACAGAGCAACACACCCCTCCGCAGTCACACAAAACATCCCTCCCACCGCTTTCGGAAGAATCACTCTGATTTAAGCTGATGCAAGGGAGCAAAATTAGCACCAAGCACAGCGAGGCTTGACGCCAGGACTTGCTACAGGACCGGTACAGTGACCAGTAATCCCAAAAAAGCTCTTCAGGGTCAACAGCTTCACATCAAGGAGCGGGCAACTGTTTCGGTTCCCCATTCGACACACCTACGGCGAGAGCTGCCCCCACCGTACACATTAAACTGCATTATCTGTGCCAGGTACACAGACAACAGCTAAAAAAAATTACAACTCCCAACACGTGTCAAGCAGCAACGGTGGTGTGTGTAGATTAGAGTTGAGGGATGTGGGGAAAGCAAAGACCTATTTGTATGTGCATGTGTAATTTTTAAAGTCTTGTAAATAACAGACACACCCCACGCACACTTTCTGCCCATCAAAAATTGGGGACAACCTAAGTTGGAGGTTTTTTTCCCCTGAAATATTGTGTTTAAACGAGCACGTTCATCCCACACACACACTTTCTGCCCATTAAAAGTCGGGAGCACGTTGATCCCATACACATATCTTCTGCCCATTCAAAACTGGGGATAACCTAAGTTTTCTTTTTTTCTTTTCCCCTGAAATATTGTGTTTAAATGAGCGTGTTCATCCCGCATACACACACACACTTTCTGCCCATTAAAAATTTGGGATAACCTAAGTTTTCTTCCCCTTTCTCCCCTAAAATATTGTGTTTAAATGAGCACATTCATCCTCTGTATTCACCCTCCAGGAGGATCCATGTTACAGATATTAATAACAACGTTTACGCACAACAACAAGCTGCAACATGCCCTTGCCTTCCCCGGGGCTCTGGCAGAGCACTCCTCCGCCGCGCTTTACCGGCCATGGATTGCTGCGCCGGCGCTGGCGGGCAGCGAGGGAGGCAGGCGCCCTTTGCCAAGCAGACAACACCCACAGCCTTCTGCAGAGCAAAAATATTTCGTTTCCCCCCGCATGGCAAATTATCAATAAAGCAGGCAGCGGCACGGGAATGTGGGCAAGACTGCAGACAAGAAAACCTCAGCTGGTTTGAAGAGCACCCGGGGAACCGGGCCGGGCAGCGATGCCCAGAGGCGGAGGCTGCCGGCCCTGACTCATCAGCAGGGCTTCGTCAGGACGCAGGGATTGGGGGGGTTAAGGGCTTTGGGGTGATCTCCCCACCGAGTGCCAGCCCTGGGTAACTCCGGAGGTACAATGAAATCACTGTCCCGAGTGCTATTGCCCACATCAGTGGCCCTGTCAGGGTCTGTCACCATAGAAACGCCGGTGATGCTCCACGCAAAGCTCCGACCTCACCCCGGAGGGGAAAGGGGCGGTTGGGTGAAGCAGCAAGTGCTGCTCTCCGGAAATAAGCGTCTCTGCCTCCAAAATCGGGAGAAATTCTGCTTTTTGCTTCAGTAGGAAGGGGACTGGCTACCCGGCTCCGGCCAACTTGGCTAAGGCGGGCTGGGGCTTGGAATCCACTGGAGGAAGGGGCAGACCCGAGCCAACATCCCAGCCACACGGGCGAGCACCCCGGGAGTTGGGCTTTGTAAAGAACATCAGGATCCTGCCTTTGAGCGGAGGGGACGGGGAGAGGTGGCTGGCCCGCACCTTTCTCTCTGCGTCTGCAGACGCCAAGCGGAGCAGCCCAGGGCAGAGGAATGGCTCCAGGCAGACGGCCCCAGCAACCGCCGTGCTTCTCCCCGAGGTGAGCTCGGTTAGGGTGGCAGGAGCTGAGGACAGCAAACCTCGCTGCTGGCCCGCTGCCACACTGGAGATGGTTGGGAGCAGCCCCGCTGCCCACCAGCTGGGCTCCCCAGCGAGCTGAGAGGCCACTGCACCCCCTGACGAGAGAGTTATTACGTGACTGATCAACCCAGCAAAGGTGTTTTTCAAGAACCGAAGCAGCTTTGAAAGCTTTGTGTGAAAGCCCCAGAGGCAGAGCTTTGCATCCTCGGTTGTGCCACCTTCACGGGCTCGTCTGTCCCTGAACATTACATCCCAGATGACAGACTGAAATCCCCCGGCAAAGGGCTGTCCTCTCCGCTGCTCTTCTGAGGGACATCTCGGAGAGCAGCGCAGCAGCTT